GGTCAATCTGTATAACAAACTCTATAACAAATTGACAATTGATGTTTGACTTTTTTACCGAATATTTCGTATTTCGGCTTATTGTAAAAGAGTTTTAAGTTGCGCATTTTAAACGGAAAACCCCTCCACAACAAAAGTAGCAAAGTCGGTAGATTCTTTAACCAATTTGTTCTCAATGTTATTATTTCACGCTCTTCGCTACCAATTGATCACATTTCTATCTGCTTGGCTTAACTGCATGTCTCAAATATCAATCAAAAAGCAATATTTACATTTTTTACTTAGCCACGCTGGCAAAAGGAAATTTGTCGTTAAAAAATATAAAAGACGCTCTCGCGTTGCCAAAGCAATAAAACAAAACGAAATAAATCAAGGAAAACACATAGAAAGTCAAACAGTGGGGAGTGCTCCACTTGTTAATATTCTGCACAACTAAAGCGTTTACGAAAACGCTATAAATTTAATATTTAGTTAGTCTCTGATATTTTTAATAAATTTAAAGGACAATCGAAAGAGCAAAAAGCTTGACCTTAATTGCATCAATGTAAAAGATCTGTTCGGTTAAAGGCTAGGAGTCTGACAACCACTTTCGATGATACGTGAAAATCTACATTAAAATATATACAGTATTTACCAAAAAAAAATCAGTTTAAGAAACTGGTACAATTACAATATGCCTTATGAATATATTTATATTTGTACAGAGTAGACAAGATGCCAATGCAAGTGTGATATAAAACGAAAACGTTCGAAAACTAGAGGGATATACGATTGGAAGCGACCTTGGAAGCGCTTGTTGGAGCTATGGTCGCCAGCTTAGAAGGAATTAAACAAATATTTATCAAAGAGCTGAGCGAGACGTGCTTCAGCTGAACAAAAGCAATGCCAACATGGCCGGCGCCAAAGCAAAGTGGCCGGAAAACATCAAGAGAAAGCCAGAAATATGAGACAGCGACTTGAATGAAAAGAAAGAGAAGCGGACACGGTGGCAGGCACCAAGACGGAGATGGAAAAGGAAACTAAGAACTGAACTGCAGCGTCATGAAAGCCGTACAGAACTAAGAACAGTGACGCTGTCAAGTTTGCCAAAGCCGTGATGTCAAGATGAATGGACGCAACGAGCAGGCTCCAACCAACGATTGTGTGAGGAAAGTAAATGGTTGATGCGTGACACCAAAGTTTAAGCCAACTTTATGCTAATTAGCAGCTGCTAACGAGTCTGATGCGAACAACTCTACAGCCAGAGCCGGGCGAGGCCAGTATTCTAATGCCACGCACATGCAGACCGGAGGACCTCTTGTCCTGCACACAGTCTCTCCAAGCTGCAAAAGTGTGGGCTTTGCGACACATCTGGGGAAGACTTACGTATGCCACACCCGCAAACACACATACACACACAGTGGCAGCCATTTTTTCAGTCATCTTTTTTACCCGTTTCTGCCAACTTTTGTGCAGTCTCATTCGCAGTGTTGGTGTCGACTGCATTTCGCATTTGGAGGTGGCGCAGCTGTTTGTTGGCTTAGCAACAAGAGCGCATTGTTGACATCTGAATTTTATAATATATATTTATATATATGTGTATATATATATAAATGTATATATTGTGCTTTATATAGCTTTTTGGCTTGCTTTATGCGAAATTGCATTGAAATGCCCGAATAACACGACTATAAATGTGGCCATTGTGCAGCCAGCTCGACTCGGCTGCGACTTGCAGCATCCCTGCCGAACAATGTGCGCCCATAAATTACCTAAATTGAAAACCATTCTGTTGGCACCATTTTGGTAAAGTTTTCTCTGTACACTTGCCCACATAGATTCCGCCACTTAAAAAAAAACGTCGACACGCGCCACACTTTTATATTCATTACGATTCATACAGAACGTCAGTTTAATAATACACTGCAATCATGCAGTTCTATAAAAGGGTTGGTTGACTATGACAATAAATAACCAGGAAATATGAATGGAAATATCTATGTGAAATTAGAAAATAAACTAATTAACAATAATTACAAAAAGTTACCTAATTTTGACAGAGACAATTCATAAAAATTAAAATTATAATTATAATAACTATAATAATATATTTCATTCAAAATATTTGACTAAAAATTCATATTTCGCTTGTTTTATGCTCAATTTAATCAGGTCTTATTTAAATATTGTTTTTTATATTTTTCTCATCTTTTCCCTTAGTTGGCGGCTCAGCATAAAACCGTTTTCGAAACGAAAAGTTCAAGAAATGAATATAATATTCGGTTTTCGCTACGGCTGGGTGCATTTTATGCAACTACATAAATCTTGTATATATATTTTCAAATTCAAATAAAATAAATTAAATAATAAGACAGGCAATTTGAGTGTATTTTGAAATTCATTGAAAGTTTGCCTTTGTTCACTGTTATTCCCAGTTTTTTTCGCAACGCTTTCCGTTCGCAGCGCGCATAAATATGCAATAGAAACTTTTCTCACGTTTTTGATTGCATTTTTTGTGCAGCGTCATAAATATTTAATGTATACTTTAACCGGCAACAAGAACAGCAACAACAGCAGTGGCAGTGGAAGCGGAAGTGACTGCAATGACTGTGGCAGATTCTTTAGCTGTAGATCTTTGATTACTCATCTATATAATATTTTGCGAAAGTCATCTTTATTGCATTTCGATTAAAGTGTAAACAAAAATGGCAAAGCAACAGCTTGTCTCATTAAATTGATGTCCTGACTTAAGCCAGAACTACACTCGAATCGATACAATTTAACATCTAGCAGGCTGTGGTAATGTTTAACTCTCTACAGCAATTGAGAACAACCCGCAGAACCGTGTGATGTGGGTCTGTTATAGGAATTGATGGCATCAGTAGTAAGATGATTGCACTCTGGTTGTACGTTGACCAAAAAAGCCACTGGATGCACTTAATTAACTTAATTAAAAATCTTTGTGTCTCTGGCAGCAGCTTGGCAGCAAATACTCAAATACTCACCAGCAGCATCATCGTCATTATAATGCCGTGTGTCGCGGTTGAGATGAGTTGAGGCACCGCAAAGCGAGTCACTTCCAGCTGAGCTCATATACGAGTGAGTACTATGTGCGAAATAAGCGAATCCTGGCTGTAGTTGGCACTGCTGTTGCTACCAGTCATAACGCTCATATTGCATGCAGTCGCCGTTTCATACGAAGCGTAAACTCAATTAAAAACAGTCGAGTAGTTGGCGACGCGCACTGCACTGCACCACAGTCGCAGTCGCACCCACACGCTCGCAGTCACAGACGCAGACTCCTGATGACAGAGCTTGATTATCCTTATCGCGCCTCGGCCTGGGTCCGTTACACATCCTGCCACAAGCTTGCTGCTGCTTGTAAAATGCTTTTGTGTATTTTATTTTCTATTCCATTTTCTAACTTAATACCAGCAAATTTGTTATTTTTTTACCAGCGGCTTTTCCATTTGCTGCGGCTTGGAGCCTTTTCATTTTAATGCTTACCTCATAGAGAGTCCATTAAGATTATATTTTATGCATTTCTTGTGTGCCACTTCAAACTTGCATTTTAATGGCGTTTCACGTAATTAGCTGTATAAATACTTTATATATTGTGGAAATTATATACCCAGCAAGACTACTGGGTATTCAATATCTACATGTTTATTTCTGACTTTTAATGTTTCAGCTGATAGCCATTCATTATTATATAATTATTATAAAATCAAGATGAGGGCTATTTGCAGCCTTTCTACAGGGTACGGTTTAGTTTATTTGATAATTTAAAATTTAATAATATTAATAACAATAAAATTACTTAATATTCTTATATTTTATGCCATTCTTAACAGATGTAGGATATTGTCAGTGTGACTTCAGGGTAGCCCATTGTCGGGCACTCTGTAAAGTTAATTAGGTATATAAATTGTTGGGTTAGTATAAGCACATGTAAATCGTCGATTGGTTAACAATGTTGTTGGCAGTAAATGGAAGTAGAGTCAGGAGTCGGGGAGATCAACTGCTGCAATGTTACACCCTTCGTTTTTCACGTCAAGCAACAATTATCGGTTAGATGTTGAAAACCAGTGTAAATTGAGAGATTGTTTATTGGCGTGTTTGTAATGCGACCGAATGAAACATGTTGATGTTGCTGCTGACAGTTGTAGCTGCTATTGTTGTTGTTGGTGCTGTTGATGACAGTGCGTCAAGAATTTTTGTTGTGAATGCAGCGCGCCATGAGATTCTCAATCATCGCAAAGCAGTCCTCGCAGCAGCAGCACCTCCTTTTGAAAAGGGTTGCCTGCTTCTATGCATTTATCCTGTGCCTACATAGTCTCAAATGCGGCTAAGCGTGACGTTGACGAAGCGCATGCAACAGCTCAACTTGTTAGACGACATCGAATGGAAAGGTGGCTCGTTTGGAATGCGAGGGGAAGGCTGTGCGGCACAGTGGGTGATGACATGGCGGTTTGACGTTGTTGCAGTTGCTGTTGTTCCTGGCAAATTTGTTGCTGACAATTTCGTGTTAGCGCTGCTCATGTTGTGGTTGCACATGCAGAGTACATGTGCATCTATGTGTGTGTGTGTTTGTGTGTTTTCTAGTCGATAAATTTTCAATTTTGCAACTTACACAACTTATGCCACATGTGCATGTGTGTGTTTCTGTGTGTCTTGCCTTTAACGTTTCCGCATTTTAGCCGCACTTCAGCACAGCACACCATGCCGCATGATTGATGCCGTCTACAGAGTCTCTGCCCGTCTGCACACACACCCTGACGGCAGACAACTTATTATGTTGATATAACAAATACAGAATCCTCGCTGGTTACCATACAGACAAGTGTGGCGTGCGAGAGAGATGGAGGAAGATAAACTGAGCTTCAGCTAAAAAGTGAATGCGAGGCTTTACGCTAAATTATACTCTTAACAAGCACGTGTGTTTATCATTAACGGAGTGTGTGTTTATGTATGCTGTGGGTTTTTCTGCTTTAATTATATTATTTACTCTTTTATTTCAGCTGTCTCAACATTGAATAGCCGTACAGGAACAGCAAGGCAAGGCTAAATAACAGGTGGGTTGAAGCTGTTCAAGATTTCATTTAAAGTGTTTTGCACAGAACCTATTTATATTTAAGAATTAATTCAGCTTAGCCTGAGGTAGGACTAAATATTTAATAGTTAATATATAAATGCATTTAACAATTAAGTTACTGTTACATATAGAAACAGTTTACACGTCAAATGACATGCAGCGAATCACCCTTAATTGAAACAAACTCGTGCTTCATTTCAAAGTGTTTATTTTTAAATTTTTGAATCATATAAGCTTTGACAATTACATTTAAGAGTTATATCAAAAATTATGAAGTGTTTTCAATTTATTTGAACTGCAACAAGAGCCAAACAATTCAATTAACACTGCGAATTTTACTTGGCAGCCACATAAAATGGTTTATGACTCACTCTCTGACCAGCATTTTACTGGGGACATTCATTGCCTCCCTCTGCCTTCCTCCCACTCTCTTGAAATTCCCCAAAGTTTATTGAGGCGAAAATTGTTTGCAACAAAATAGAGAATGCTCTATCTGTGCACCAGCAGCAGCAGCATAAGATATTGCATCTGTGCAGCAGCAGCAGAAGATATTGCATTGTATACGAAAAGTTGAAGCAGCTTAGTTTTGAGTTAAGTTCGTGACATGGGTCTCTCAGGGAAACAAAAAGCACAAGAATATGATAGATTTTGGCAGGAACGCTTAAGAAAATACACTCATATATATCTAACCCATTCCGATAAAATTAATAGCTAATCATCATTTTGATGTAAAAGTCATTAACTAATTGCTAGAAAAATATTTGAATTGTGAGACTTTTAGCTTTCAAAAAAGTTTCAATAGCCCGAATTTCGCTTCGTTTGCTTGAATGATGTCACCAAGCAAATATCTAAAATAAAAATAAATATCACTGAAGGCCGTATTCTTTATATATATCATGAATGGTATCTCGCAGACTTGACTTTTGAAAAGCTCACATTTATGCCTTCGGACTTTGGCCAAGAAACAAACATAAATTCTCTATAAAAAGGACAAATGAAAATGAATAAAAAAAATCATCATCGTAGTCGCGATTTTCTTTTAGGCTTTTCCATAAGTCGCCGCCATAAATAATCACATAAAACAACAACATACAAAACATGTTGGCATTGAATGCCGCTTCTGGTCCTGCTTCTGCTTATGTTCCTGCTTTACTAACAAAGGGAAACCCAAATGACTATACATAAATACCTTTTTTTGTGGAACAGGAAGCATCCAAGCTGTACCCGCAATTTATGTAAAATTTAATGCTTTATAACGACATACGCACACACACACGGGCACACACATAAACTTTGAATACATATGCAAATCATATCACTCATATACGCCTACACGATGCGACTCGATTCGACGGTATGCAAAGCATTATCAAACATGAAACATGAAACACCAATGAAAATGTCAGGCAAGAAACAAACACAGCAACAAAGATAACAGTAAAGATAAGCAATTTCCCCGTTTTCAAATGTTTTCACCGTTAGGCGCCATCTCTACACATGTTTTGTGCACAAATTTTATTATGCACACAAAACTCAAACACACATGCAAACACAGGCGCACGGCCCACCGACACAGGCAAACACACACAAAATGCTCGCATATGTCACTGTGTAGGCATTTTATGCCGGAATTTGTTTTACACTGCATTACAAGACTGCGTAACAAAATGGTACATTTTATTTTTAAGTCTGAAAAATTTTTATATTTTATTTATAAAAGTAAAGATCATGTTGAGTTCGATTAGCATTAGAGAGTATAGGTACAGGCGTTAAACAAAAATAAACCAAATTTTAAAATTGAGATATTTTGCTTTAAATAATCAAAGAGAAAATATAAAATGTCAAGTATTATCTGATGAGGGTTTTAGTTTTGAATTTTGCTATTCTTATGTATTAATACTTAGTTTGGCCTTGTCCATTTAAATAAATACATTTTTTGGAAGTAAAAATATATAGTTTTTATGTGACTTAACATTCTCCTACTCCTTATGTACTCTAAACTTCGATTTAAATCCCAAGATTTCTGCCTTGTCGTGTACTGATACCTTGCCTTCATAAAAATAATTATTCCTTAATTATTGACATAATTTTAACTCGTTTCATAGTAGCTTGTTGCCTGGTGTAAGTGAGTTGGCATTAATATATGATTCAAAATAAACGCATTCATTATTTACAGGCAAGCAAAATAAGAAAAAAAAATAAACCAGCAGCTGCTTGACACATAAACATCAAGTGCGCAACACGCCACACACCAACAAAAAAAAAAAATAAATAAAAAAAAAAAAATATATATATATATATATATATATATATATATATACATATGAAAAATGTAAGAAAAAAATATTTGACGTCTGTTCATCCAGAGACGCGTCGTGTGGCAACCCCAAATGAAAAGGGCGCCAACGTCGACAGCGGCAATTTAAAATTGCTGGCTTTTTAACTCGCATCCATTTACAGCAATTTTCCGTGTTACCCCCATGCCCCAATCGGGGGCCCTGTGACGTGTCAGATTGAAATTACATCAGGCACTTGGCGAATAGCAAATTGGCAAGAATGCTTGTAAGGATAACGCATTACATAAATAAGCAACAAGCCAAGAAAAATTGAAAAAAGGTTGCAGACATGTTAAAGAAATCAAATTTAATGACTCAATAATTGAAATGCGCGCACGAGCATAAAAAATTTTCCTTCAATCACGCGCGTTGCGTATACGCCGCGTTAACTCAGTCATAGATTTCTGAGATGTCTAGCCTTAGCTGTCTTCTAAGAGTGACTGTGTTGGCCACTCTAATTGACCAGTCCGCACTCTAGGCTCCCACATAACTTGGCAACTTGAAGCATCCTTTAGTCGCTGTGTGCTCTTATCTATTGTTGCCGCTGCGGCGCATGTTCGCCCACTTATTTCATGCATTTTGCACTGCAGCCACAAATCCGCGCGGACTTAAAAAGCTTTTTTCAACAAAAAGTAGTTTAATGCACATGGATGATGGTGCTGGAGGGGGGTTTATCTCAGCATTCTTTAGCAGCCACGATGCCGGGGCGTCCGAAGGGTGCTGCAAGCCGCAACAGACCATGAAGCCACATAAACCCACTGAGGCAAACCAATCCAAAGAAACTGCAATGCTTTCTCCTTCGACTTTCAAGAATGCCATCTGTGGGTTTTTTTTTTTGGTTGCTGAAGCTACTGCATTTTTTAAATGAACACGTTGTTGTTTTTGTTGAAACAATTGTTTGGCATATCGGCGAAAAATTAAGTTTACGCTCGTTGATTTTAAATGCATCTGACGGGCGGACAGCCTTAGATACGTTCAGCTTATTTAAACAGCACAAAGCAAATTTCCAAGAAATTACCAGCATCAGCAGACATATTAAAAAAGGATATTCCCATAAAGACAATTGTAGCAATTGACGGGGATTATAGCAGAGAATGGCAAGAATGGTATTTACTCAGATGCGAACAATTGGGAGAAAAGCTGGATATAAGTCGTGTATATGGAAACAACCGTGTTTGAAGAGTTCGCTTTGAATAATTTAAGAATAAACTAGGTCTCACTAATATAAGATAGATCCTTATTCTCAGCTTATATATTCGGGGCACCATAATTTTCGGGCATTCAAAATGTTGTCAATTGTTTTTTAAATGTAATAATTATTGTTTTAATCAGTTTCTGTATTATCTTGAAATAGAAAAAACTAATTTTATGTTACAAAACGGCTTTATTTAATACAAAATATGGATTGTTCCAAAATTGAAGTTAACAAAAATTATATTTTATTTAAATTATCAGGCAAACTTGAGAAAAGTTATTTTCTAATCAAGAAAATGTCATAGTTTTATTTCTATATTTTATTTTAATTTATTTTTGACTATTTATATCGTCCAGCTAAGAGGTTTCGTCTTAAGCTTTTGGGATTAAAACAAATATATCTCAAATATTACTTATAATATACAAGTTGCAAAAGCCTTAAACTGTAAATTCAAAAGTTTTCGGCCATGTTCTTCTTTGAGCACTGTGTGTGTTGCTTAATGAAAGTTTAAGCCTACTTTTTGCACTTGGCTGCAACAAATTGTTAACAAACCAATAACAGAACTCCTACATTTCCTTCTATCTTTTGCCTGCCAAACAGCCGCAACTGCAAATCGTGGACTAAAACTATACTTATTTAGCAACATTTATCCCTCCAAACCAGCACCATTTCCACTGCGCATTAGTCTACTGCGTGTTTCCCAGCAGTTTCCCGAAAACCCTGCAGACAGACAAACAGAAAAGTTTCGAAGCGACTGTGGCTGGCCCCAAGACGGTGCCACATCGTTGGTTGGCTTTAGTGCAAAACCAAGGAAACTGCTAAATATTTGAAAAGTTCTGCAGAGCTGAACTGAGGTTCCTGCAAAAACGTCAACTAGTGTAAAACTTGCGGTAAATTGCTCAGGGCGTGGTCGCAAAGCCAAATATTGCCAGGTACATGTAAAAGCGACAGCCAAATAAGTACACGCTTAAAACAAAAAATCGCTTATACGCCACGTTGACAGCACACACAACGTGTAGCCAAATTATTTATAAGCAGCTGGCGGCTTAGAAGCTTTTTAATATGAATAGCGGAATATCCGGGGTGGGTATAAAGATGATATAATCGTTGGCAACAATAATTGGGTGCACGCCTGGCTTTTCGGCAAACTGAGAGACGTATAATTAAATTCAATTATTTATGTCCCTGTCAGAGCCGACGCAGATACCAAAATGCGAATCAACATTTGGGACATCAGGATTTACGAGCTGTCCACAAATGCTTAAAGCGGCTTACAGTTTGTTTGTTTGTTGACCAAATAATTGCGCCATTTTCTGGCCTGCCAACTGACTGTCACTCGTCTGTCCCCAGCAACTCCGCCGACTCGCGTGCCTCTTCTCAGCTGCCCAGCTGCCCATTTGCCAGTTGATTAGCATAATCAACCAGCAAAATTAGTCAAGCACATTCACATACTCGTATGCAAAATAGTTCTATACACACACACACACTCAAACAAACGTATATCCAGCTGAAAATTCAGCTCTTCATATAAATTACAAACTCAATTTGCAGCACATGCCTCATCAGTCATGTGCAAAGCGAATTGCTGGAATAATCTCAAATATGAAAAACTCATCAAAAAATAATAATAATAAACAGCACAAAATAATTGCACGTAAAGCCCAAATAAGTAAATAGATATATTTGTGTACATTTTATTATCATATCAAAACACACACGAACCGTTTTCAATTTGTGCCAATTTTCCTGCAAAGCTTTTTAGTCGTTGCCCACAAATAAATTGAAAAAAAAAGAAGAAAACAACATGTGTATACACTATGCGAGTCGGTTGTGCTTGTTTTAAGTACAAAATAAATATTTGAATTCACAATCCGATTTAAAGGACTCAAATTCAAAATAAATCCAAGAGACTGATCAAAGTAATTTAATTAAACCAATACAACAGTTTCTTTCAGTTACTAAAATATTTAATTATATTTAATTTTTCTAGCTTAAAGGTCTAGCAAATAATAATATAATGAAGCGTGTGCGCTCTTTGTAGTTATTTTTAGTGAGGGTGAATTCTGAATATTCATTTAAATAAATATTTGTACGGTTTAATTAAAATTTGCGCTGGGCGTTTTTCCGCTTAATTTTCTCCGCATTTAAACTCAAATCGCTTGCTTTTTGATTTGCGAATATTTTTGCGCAACTTTTGGCACATTTAATTTCAATTGGAAGTGCTTCAAACTAATGTCTATTTTAAATTCCTGCCATGTCTGAAAGGACATGCTCAGGTGAGTTGAGAGTCGCGTCGTGGCAGTGCGGAGCAGCTGCAGCTGTGACAATGTCTGGCCGTCTAGACGTGCTTCTGAGCGTCATCATGTGGCTCGATTGCCATTTTTTGGTCGACTTCAATAAATTTCAAGAGGCACGTGAGGCCAAATGCGGTTGCCACAATTGTTGGCAGCGCTCGCCACATTTTGTACAAAATGTAATGGAATTCAATTAAGAGCGAAATATATAAATTTTATTTTGGCTCGCGGTTTTCGATTCGGCCGTTGACCACAAAAACAACCAGTGCCAAAAAAAAAAGAAATGCCAAACGGAAGCTGCAAGCCAACAACAAGGCTGCCATTTTTGCTAGCTATTGTTTATTTGTTACGCACATTCAAGTGCTGAGAATGGAGGGTGTGGGCGTGTCTGTAGGCCATTGGAACGGGCAACGCAAACAATTTAATAATGGAAAGAAGTATGAAAATGTATACAAAAGGACGCAAACAGCAAGTGCGGTCGCCGCCTTCTGCTTCCCTCGCTTTATATGGGTTACATCAGGAGGATGGAATGATGTTCAGCATGCTGATGAAGCAGATGATGATGATAATCATGATGTTGATGTAGGAAAACACAACTACGCTTAGCCTGCGGGTTAGGAAACTCATGCGGCTCTAAAGTTTTTTTATTTTCTTATAATTTCTTCAAAATTGTAACAACTGCGACCTGACATGTGCGCAGAGGTGAGGTGTATAAAGAACTTGTGTGAGACAAAGAAAACTTTGAAAGCCTTTAAAGCTTACACAAATATATTCTTAAAGATTTGTTTCATAAATAAAAAAATATAGTTTAAAAAATATCGATTTAATGGAGGTTAATTTTGAGTGATTAGTTATTTAAATGATAACATTTTTGCAAAAGTTGTTTATTTATTGTAAAACTGTAATATATTTATTAAGTTTAATTAGTAGCTTTATAGATAAATATTATTAAATTGTTACGTAATTAGGAAACCACTTAATGATTGTATAAATCAAAATGATAAAAAATGATTTTTAAAAGAAGTTGAATGGAATTAACGGTATCGAAAAGTATTATAATTATGATATTAAATTGTATTTTGTAAGTATATTGATAAAATTCCCATATAAAACGTATGTATAAATAATGTGTATTTATACTTGAATTATGCAATTAAATTATCTTAAATCATTTAACACGTCTAAGACTAACTTGATCAAGTTTTGTAATCTTAGTTGTTGGTTCTTTACTTACAGCAACGCACAATCAGAGCAGAGCAAGGCGGTTTCAAGAAACATCCCAACGGATTCAACAGATATTTAACTACCTATATGTATTGGCCTATATAGCTATGAAAATACGCAGAAAAAATACTGATTAAACTTATACTACAGCATCACTAACGACCAGCAGAAGCCGTGAGCACAAAATATTTATTAAGCTGACCGCAAATAGCGCTTTATTAAGCATACGCTACGTTAGCCAGCAGCCGGGGCAGGGAAGCGGACGGACAAGCGCACATCAAATTAGTAATCAAGCATCACAAAAGCAACGCCGAGGGGCACGCTGTATACGGTTCACGGCGTAAGCCTAAGCTCACCCGGGGTCTGCTGCCTGGCAGCTCAATGCGAGGCAGACGAAACTAATAAGACGACGACTTTATTTTTATTGAAATTATGATTAATGACAAGAATATTGTACGACGGCGAAGTGGAATCAGCGCGAATTAAGGGCGAAAGCCCATGACTATGATGATGATGACAATGATGTTCATTAAGTTAATGATAATGCTGCGGCCAGGGCGCGATTTCTGACGCGTATGTCAAGCCATCTACAACACCGCCATGGAGCAGTCATCGCAGTTAACGATGAACTTAATCAAAGACAGTTTAATGGGTGTCAATACCGTTGTCGCTGTTGATTGCCAGCGTGTAAACAACTACAACTATAACAACTATAACAACAACAACAACAACAGAAATTAAACAAAACTATAGCTCATACGACGCGTTGTACAACGGAATAACTAACTACTTTAAAAGCAAGTGAAAGTGAAAGCACGAAAAAAGGTATTTCGGTTTAATTTTTTGAAAATTTGATGGCTTCGCCTGGGCAGCATTGTGCCGCAGCAGACGCCGCCCGAAGAAGACGCCATCAGCAACCACAGCAGAGCGACAATATTAGCAAGAACATCAACAGCAACAAACTGATATCCATAGCCACACTGACGCTGCTGATACTCTGCTTGAGCAGCTGCATTGCCTACGCAGCCGCAGCAGCGGCAACAACCACGGAACAGCCAGCGACTCGGAGCAGCAGTAGCGGCAGCAGCACGGACATCGGTAACCTGGGCGAGGATTTCAATAGCAGCAGCGCCTTTTTGGGCGCTATTGCAGCTGCTGCTGCCGGCTCGGTGAACAGCAGCCCCATTGCCATTGTCAGCTATCAGGGAATTACGAGCCGCACACCAAATGGCAGCAGCAGCACGCTGGTGTCCATGTCCGATACGCCGCTGCTGCTAGATGATCTGGCCGCGGGTGAGGAGTTTGAGCTGCCGCCACTGCAGTCGGTCATTGTGAGCATTATCCTACTAATTGTTATATTGGGCACCGTGGTGGGCAATGTTCTCGTCTGCATTGCCGTTTGCATGGTGCGCAAGCTTCGGCGACCCTGCAATTATCTGCTCGTATCTTTGGCGTTATCTGATCTCTGTGTGGCTCTGCTCGTCATGCCCATGGCCCTGCTCTATGAGGTGCTGGAGCGCTGGAGCTTTGGCACGCTGCTTTGCGACATTTGGGTATCGTTCGATGTGCTTTGCTGCACCGCCTCCATACTGAATCTGTGCGCCATCTCCGTGGATCGCTATCTGGCGATTACCAAGCCCCTCGAGTATGGTGTGAAGCGCACGCCACGTCGCATGATGCTCTGTGTGGGCATCGTTTGGCTGGCGGCCGCCTGCATCTCGTTGCCCCCATTGCTGATACTGGGAAACGAGCACGAGGATGAGGATGGCCAGCCCATATGCACGGTGTGCCAGAACTTTGCATATCAGATCTATGCAACTCTGGGCTCCTTCTACATACCCCTCTCCGTCATGCTCTTTGTGTACTATCAGATCTTCAGAGCCGCACGACGCATTGTTTTGGAAGAGAAGCGCGCCCAGACGCATCTGCAGCAGGCAATGAATGGCACCGGCTCACCGCAGACGGCCACAGCACCCGTATTGGGCCACACGGAACTGGGCAGTGGCAATGGCACTGGTCATGGACACCGGCACAGCAGCGTGGGCAACACCTCGCTCACCTACTCCACCTGCGGCGGCTTGAGTACCAGTGGCGGCGGCGGCGGTGGGGGCGGCGGCATTGTGGGCATTCCTCATGGCCATCATGGTAGCGGTGGCGGCGTGAGCGGTTCCACTGGTCTGCTAGGGTCGCCGCATCATAAGAAGCTGCGCTTTCAGCTGGCCAAGGAGAAAAAGGCGTCCACGACACTGGGCATCATTATGTCCGCTTTTACTATATGCTGGCTGCCATTCTTCATACTGGCGCTGATCCGGCCGTTTGAGACGATGCATGTGCCAGCGTCGCTCTCCTCGCTCTTTCTCTGGCTGGGATATGCCAACTCGCTCCTAAATCCGATTATCTACGCTACTCTGAATCGTGATTTTCGCAAGCCCTTCCAGGAGATACTCTACTTCCGGTGCTCCAGCCTGAACACGATGATGCGAGAGAATTACTATCAAGATCAGTATGGTGAGCCGCCCTCACAGCGGGTCATGCTGGGCGATGAGCGACATGGAGCGCGCGAGAGCTTCCTGTGAAGTCAATGGATCCCTGTATACTTGGCTCCTTAAATTTATATAAATGTTAATGTATGTATATGTGTTGTTCTCTATACGGATAGGCCAAAACTAACTAGTGTCTACAGCTTGGTTTCCCCTTCCACACAAATACACACACACCCGCCCCCACACACACACACACTGAAACACACACATACATATATTCTATGTATGAGTGTAACTGTTTACCTATGAGTATTTTTTGTATGTAGTAGTGATGCATAACGCAAACCCCAAAGTACGATATATGATAAACGATAAATCATAAATGATAACTGATAAATGCTACTTGTAGATGGCTCTTTTAAATGTAACTGATCGTTGTAGTTTTTAAATGTAACGCTAAGCAATTAAGTGGGCTAAAAGCAACAACCACACACCACATACACCCACCCAACCATTCACAACCAAAGCAACAATTGCACACGGACACATAACATAGCTGTAAATCTATCGATGTTAGCGATGTCTGCTTCTAGAGTTCTCACACTGAAAAACTAAATTATAAATCATAAATGTAGTTGATAATGTCTTGGGCATTGCTTGATAAGTCTATTGATAAAAATCGAAGCCATCGATAGTTTTGCAGCGGAAAGACATATAAACACTCACATAACAAGACGGTTGTACCACTGTTAACCCAGAACAGGTTTTCACACAGTTCCTTCTTATGTTGTTATTTCCAAAATGAAAAGACGATTACAATCACAATCGATATCGAATCTATTGAGCCCACAGCGAGCGTAGTTTATTTGCGATACTCAAAACTGAGCCAAAAATTAAATTAAATTAAACTCACTTAAGATATTGTATCAGCTATTTAAAATTAAACATACGACACGAGTTATATAACAGTATATAGTATACCATATCGTCAATCATGACAAAGTGTGGTCTTTTAACTGTCGAACTGTAAATAGGAAAGCGCTTTACCAAAGAGTAAACTATATTTAAATATATGTATTTGCATATATGTGTGCTACTCCCAACTGTCTCATAACGTATATTTGTTATGCTCGTGTAGGTAAAGCTCAATACTAAATCGTATTTAAGTGTATGTATTTATTAAATACTTTCTGCATTAATTTTTTATAATATTAATTCTGTTTGTTTTTTTTTTGTGTATTTGTATAAAAGTCACGCCTCTCTGTGATACCAAACATTAAGCATTAACTTTATTGTTTAGATCAACTGCATTATAATATTAAATACTTATAATACTAACTAATAACTGCTAGTATATACGAGTACGACCTACACATATAGATACTATATGCTATATATATAAATATATGTAGGAGTTGGAAACAGAACTAGGAGTGGTCGAACTTACAATCAGTTAAATTAAACAGGCGAGTATAATGTTGGCATTATACTCATTTGGTAATATAAAATCACTTATCATATGCAACCCTGCTATGGATATTTAATCAACGATAGATTTATCGATAAAAATACAAGAAGGAGAAGCTCAGTTGTAAGCTAGAAGAGTCAATGAAAAGATGTGTTCGCTGTTGCTCGTTGTCTTTGAAATACATGTCGGAAAATGTACAATAATCATAAGTTTACGCTTGTTCACCAATTTCTCTAAATAAAATAATATGAACATAAAGAACTCAAGTGCTTGTGAAGGCCATCGAATGGTCATCCCTACAAATTTGGTGTCAGAAGTGGGATAGACAGAAATTGTGAAATTCGTAAATTGATTAACGAGTACAAACGTATGCAAGACTATTAATCGGAGCATAAAACGAAGCGGGTGCATGAAAATTCATTAAAATTCGTATGCCCTGGAAAAAATGGAAAAAGTCAAGAATCGTCTAGGATTAATGGCGACAGCGGCGAAGTATGCCTAGAGAGCTCTAGTAAGAGCGAGACAAACAGTCGTGTATTGCGTGACAGTGGTCGATAAGCGCAAGCGAGAAGGCGATGTTTTAAATTCTGCGTAGCAAAGGCTGGATAGCGCAAAATTTTCACTTCGTGATGAAATAAGAAGTTGCAGATCAAAGAGGCGAAGAGCGAAGAGCGCGGAATCTTTCAATAAAAGAGCGTGTGACTGGAACGTGCTTCAACACGACAACGATGATCACAGGGTGTATCAAGTTACAGATCAACAACAGAGTATGTTATTTCGTCATTATATGAAAATAATTAACTAGTTGTTGAGTAAAGAGTGTTAAATCAGTAAAAAATTTTCAAAGAATCAAATTATAACAAAGAAGAAATTAAGTGTAAGCAAACACAAAGTGAAAGTATAAGTTAAGACAGACGAATATAATAATTTAATAATTTCTAAAGTTGCTGAAAAAAAAAACTAAAATTTGATTCATAAGAGTTTAATTACTTATACCATTAAGTTAAGTACATTGAATTGTTTATTTGTAAGATTCAATTTTAAGCATTGTGAAAAGCGAGCAACGACGATAACAAAATGAACAGAGACGAAATTTTGGCGTTAAGAGTTAACGAATTAAAAGAAAAGTTATCGGCACTTAGTTTGGTAACAACAGGTAGAAAGCAAACTTTGCAAGACCGACTTTTAGAATATTATGGGTTGCAGGTTGACGATAATGAATCTGAGTATGACGATGCTGGGTCGGCTCATACCCGTCAAAGCTCACCAATGCAGATAGTCCGAACAACGTTTACATTACGCGACATTGAAGATTCACTCTCGCAATTCAATGGGTCAAATCAACCAGCTGTTGAAAAATGGATTCATGAATTTGAAGATAACGCTTTGGCAGTGCAGTGGAACGACCTTCAGAAATTTATTTACTCAAAGCAATTACTAAAAGGTGCAGCAAAATTATTCGTGCGCAGTCAGCATGGAATTTCAGATTGGATATCTTTAAAGCAAGCGCTATTGGAAGAATTTGGGACGGTAGTTTCATCAATAGACGTCCACCGCATGTTGCGGAATAGGCGTAAGCGTCAAGGTGAAGATTATATAGAATATCTGTATAGCCTTATGGAAATTGGCGGACCTCTTAACCTGGATGACTCAAGCCTGATAGAATATTTTATTGAGGGAATACCTGACTCGAGGAGTAACAAAAGTAATCTGTATCAGGCCAAGACTCTGCAGCAACTAAAAGAACAAATCAAGGTATATGAGAAAATCCGTAGTAGTCGCCCTCAAGCGTCTAATACGGGTAGGATGCATAACGATACCGAAGAAAAGAAACCTGACTTGAATAAAGAACGAATTAAGAAATGTTTCAAATGCGGCGATCCATCACATCTAGCCAGAGAATGTAGACAGCCAATAAAATGTTACAAGTGTGCTCAACCAGGGCATAAGGCAGCTAACTGTTCAGGATCGCGTGCAGTGGAGAAGAAAGAAGGCCAAAATGCGAACACGATGATAAACAAGGCCAACAGTAGTGGAAAATGCATTTTTAAGGAGTTGTCTTGTAAGAACATATGCTTCTCTGCATTAATCGATACAGGCTGTGACCTCTGTCTGATACGCGATGATATCCTTAAAGAGCTAGGAAAAGTTGAACTGAATAATGAAAAACAGTGTCTTGTTGGTATCTGTAATAGTGAGCTAAATACACTGGGAAGCTTTGTCACTCAAGTCGAAGTTGATGGTATCTTACTGGATATAACCTTTCATGTTACGAGCAGAGACGACATCCAATACTCAGCTGTAATAGGAAACAGCGTATTGAAGCAAGCGGACTTAATAGTATCGGAAAATTTCGTAGAATTTCGACCCAAAGTGAAGGACAATGCAAACGAGAGAGTAATTGACAAGACATCAACAATAACAGAAGATACTGTCGAAAATAAGAAGCCAGACATAGAGCTTTTACAAGAATTCAAAGATGTATGTTTTTTTGCAGAAAATCAGGAGGCTGAGATCGATCTACATCACTTAGAAAAACCTGTTGCAGACGCAGTTCAAGCAATAATTAAAAACTATTCACCTGAAATGAAGAAGAAATGTCCAATTGAAATGAAAATTTTGTTAAATGATGAGCGTCCAGTTTTCGAACGCCCAAGGCGCATATCACATGCGGACAAGTCTATTGTCGATTCGCAAATCAAAACTTGGCTAGAAGAAAAGATCATACAGCCAAGTACATCGGAGTATGCATCTCCTGTTGTCCTCGTTCCGAAAAAAGATGGTACCAAAAGATTGTGCTGTGACTACAGGCGTTTAAACGAAAAGATCGCGAGGGACAATTTTCCAATGCCCTTAATAGACGATGTGATTGAGAGATTGCAGGGCCAAAGTGTGTTTACTACACTTGATCTCGCAAACGGATTTTTTCATGTTCCAATTGAGCCAAATTCGAGAAAATTTACATCATTTGTAACAAGTGCAGGGCAATATGAATTCCTGTTCGTCCCTTTTGGAATATCGAACTCCCCAGCTGTATTTTCCAGATTCATTCATGCAATTCTTGTAGATCTGGTACAGGATGGTACAGTCGTAACTTATATGGATGATCTTATAATTCCCTCCAAGGATATAGATGAAGGTATCCAAAAGTTAAAGCGCGTACTGGACAGAGCAGCAGAGTTTAACTTGCGTATTAAGTGGAGCAAGTGCCAGTTTCTCATGAAGGAAGTTGACTTTTTAGGGTACGTTATACAGGGAGGCACAATAAGACCATCTGCAAGAAAAACCCAGGCAGTTCAAAATTTTCCTATACCGCATGACCGAAAGAGTTTGCAGCGTTTTCTCGGATTAACATCGTACTTTAGGCGCTTTGTAGAAGACTATGCGCTGATAGCCAAACCGCTCTCCGATTTGTTACGGAAAGACGTGCAATTTAAAGTTGATGAAGAACAACTAGTCGCATTCAGGCAATTAAAATCAGCATTAGTTAGTACTCCAGTATTGCGATTATATAATCCGAAAGCCAAGACTGAAGTGCATACGGACGCCTCAATGAATGGTTATGGTGGTGTACTCTTGCAAAAAGACTCGGACGATCAATTGTTGCATCCAATTCAATATTTAAGTCGGAAAACAAAACCCTCAGAAGAGAAGTATCATTCTTATGAGCTTGAGGTGCTGGCTATAGTCGAGGCCTTGAAAAAGTGGCGCGTTTACTTACTTGGCATAAAATTTAAGATTGTGACCGACTGTAACGCTTTCGCTTTGACCATGAAAAAACGTGGAGATATTCCATTGAGAGTCTCGCGTTGGGCACTCTTCCTTCAAGATTTTGACTACAGTATTGAGCATCGAAATGGCAGCAAAATGAGGCATGTTGATGCTTTAAGCCGCGTATCCTGTCTTATGCTTGAAGACTCACTGCAGCACAGAT